CCCCCCCCCCCCCCNTTTCACATGACTCGTTATCAAACTGGAAACTGGATAAGGCACTGGATACGAGAAGTAAAATAAGGGAAATTTCGCTTCCGTCGCCGATTTTGGATGCACATCCTCTTGCAATAAAATAGGCTTCACCATGAACGTCAGTAATGCGAGGCAGGTAAAAACCCAAGACTTGCCTGCAGAGCGGCGTGATACCACATATCATTCCAACGGCGTAGTTCTGGTAGTTGAACACCGCATTCAACTATGCATACTGCCTACATTCATAGCCTCATCAATTTGAGACGGGTGGGAGGCTTAAGATTTTCCGTCAAAGCGGCGTGATATCACAAACCATACCAAAGCCAGAGTTCAAGTAAAGTTGCGCATCATGTCTACAATGTGGGCCCTACATTTATAATATCAGTAATTCGAGACATGTGAAAAGGTATATTCTCCTTCAAAGCGGCGTGATACCACATCACATACCAACTCCGGTGTTCCAATATTTACGCGCTTGATTTCAGAATTGAGCGTTGGGAGCATTATGCACACATTTATAATCGTCAGTAATGTGTGACAGGTGGAACGCCAATACTTTCCTTCAATTCCGCGCGATACCACAACACGTACCTACTCCGGAGCCCGAAAAGAGGAGTTTCCTTCAAAGCGGCGTGATACCACATCACACAAAAACGCTTCTGTTCCGATACTTACGCGCTTGATTTCAGAATTGAGCGTTGGAAGCATTGTGCACTCATTTATAAACGTCAGTAATGTGCAACAGGTGCAATGCCAATACTTCCTTCATTTCCGCGCGATACATCACGTATCTACTCCGGAGTCCGAAAAGAGAAGTTTCCTTCAAAGCGGCGTGATACCACATCACACACCAACGTCGCTGTTCCGATACATAGGGTGTTCAAAACGTTTTGCACACTTCCGGATTTTGAGCGAACGAAATCAGCTATTAATTTGCGGTTTATGTGTGCTTCAAGTAGACGTAATTACCAATAAAATAAGACCTCTCCAACAACTCTCTAGCTTAAATAATGACAGAGATACAGGGTTTCGAAAATGACATGTAGCGTGACCGCCTCCAGGATTTTTAGCTACAGATAATGGAAAAAAAGTTAAATGATAATTGAGTGTTTTTATTGAAAAAACTTACAAAATCTTACGGAAATTGACGAACTTCAAGTTTCTTCATCGGATGACACGGATGACTTAACATTCGGCTGTTTTTCGAAGTATTTTCCACCACTTTGAACACAAAGCTTCAGCCGCTCTGTCCAATTCACAAGGATCGTCTTTTCCAAGTCTTCTTGACGGAGGGTTTTGAAGCATTTTCGAACAGCGGTTTTGATCTAGGCTATGGAATCAAACCGTGTGCCTCTCAGAAATTTCTTTAACTCAGGAGAGAGCCATTCCGAAGCTTAGATCAAAACCGCTGTTCAAAAATGCCTCAAAACCCTCCGTCAAGAAAACTTGGAAAAGACGATCCTTGTGAAGTGGGCAGAACGGCTGAAGCTTTGTGTTCAAAGTGGTGGAAAATACTTCGAAAAACAGCCGAATGTTAAGTCAACCGTGTCATCCGATGAAGAAACTTGAAGTTCGTCAATTCCCGTAAGATTTTGTAAGTTTTTTCAATAAAAACACTCAATTATCATTTAACTTTTTTTCCATTATCTGTAGCTAAAAATCCTGGTGGCGGTCACGCTACATGTCATTTTCGAAACCCTGTATCTCTGTCATTATTTAAGCTAGAGAGTTGTTGGAGAGGTCTTATTTTATTGGTAATTACGTCTACCTGAAGCACACATAAATTACAAATTAATAGCTGCTTTCGTTCGCTCAAAATCCGGAAGTGTGCAAAACTTTTTGAACACCCTATGTATTTACGCGCTTGATTTCAGAATTGAGCGTTGGGAGCATTAAGCACACATTTATAAACGTCAGTAATGTGTAACAGGAGGAACGCCAATACTTTCTTTCATTTCCTTCAAAGAAAAGAGAAGTTTCCTTCAAAGCGGCGTGATACCACATCACATACCAACGCTGCTGTTTCGATATTTACGAGACTTACAGGCGCCAACACGCCAAATGCGCCTAAGAAATGAGGGATATGCGCCAACGTGGTTCCTGAAATGTTTCCCCCTCCCCCTCTCAAAAAATCCTGATTTTTCTGTTGGTTGATTTTTTTAGATTTCGACGCTCGGCAGCGGATTCTGACATTTCACCAAGTGCGCCGTGATCCATGGGCAATAAGTCAATTTGGCCCCTAAAAATTTTCGATGGTACCTAAAAATCGAGCTTCATGGACCACATGGCCCCTGAAACTCAAAGGTGAGTTTCGAACACTGTTAAGGAAACGGGTCAGTTACCTTAGTCATAGAATCGCATGTTGTTAGTTTCAGCTTAGAGATTAGCAAAACCTGAGTTAAATATTTTATATTTTGAAAATACTAAGTAAAAATGCCTCTGATTATTCTGTGCAGGCCCGCCACAAGGGGGGGGGGGGATACTGGGTCCTCGGTACAGGGGCCCGTGACGTAGGTGACAAACCACTACGAATTCATGTGTAACCCTTGTCTCGTAAGGAAAAGTGAAAAAAATACTCTAAAAATTCCGCTAAAGGTGAATAAAGTTTCAAAAACACGCTAGGGCACTATAAAATTTTTCTTACTTTTTTAGAGATTTCTATCTATTTTCAAGATTTTGAGTATATGTAGAATGATATTTTTAGCAACTGCGTTTCATTTTCTTCCGTTGACGGATGCTAAGAGGCTCCTGTCTGGGCATCCTCAACTTCAATGGCTCAACTCCCTTGCCATAGACGTACGAAAGGGGAGTCCAGGGGGGCCCGGCTTAGCCTAGAATTGAAAATTATCATCTGCCTCCTCAAAAAAACATTTATAGATGTTTTGAATGCAACAATTCGAAAGTATTTGGTGCTGAAAGTAAAAAAAAAGGAGTAATTATTCTGCAGAAATTGATGGAAAATCTCCATCATAAGGGCTTCAAAATGCGTCCAAATAGATTTAAAATTTCAAAAATTTCCCGGGGGAGTCCCCCCGAACCCCCCTCTGTGCGAGGGGCCCGGGCCAGAAAACTGGTACCAGGGCCCGAGATGGGATCTGGCGGGCCTGATTCTGTGAGCCTNGGGGGGGGGGGGGGGGGGGATGCACAAAAACTTAGGTATATAAAAACTAATGGCTGGTTTTCTCATAGAAAAATAAATTGTGAGTTGAGCACAACAACGTTGCAATCAGAGATAAATGTACGCATTTTTTTTTCTCTTTTTCCTCTTTACTTCAACCAATTGTATATTGGAACTGCGTTTTGCGATTAGGAAGTACAATTCATTTCTGGCTCATTTGTAAAACCACTTATGTGCACAGGGAAACTAGTGGTCATTATGATAAACCGAGAAAGAAATATTAGTTCTGGATAATTGCAAAATGTAGTCCAATTTATGAAAATTCAAATGAGGGGCTAGGAGAACAATAGGCGCATAAGTGCAGTTTTTGATAATTCGAGAAATATCTGTACGGGGTTTCAAAATTACATCGATTCTTATGGTGGTAAGATAAAGTTCAAACTGGCTTTTTTGTTGCTGAAAAATTCGGAATTTGGGAGGGAATTTTTCACAGAATATACACTACGACTAGTTTTACTTGAAATCATTAATATCTCAATTTTTTTCAAAAATTGCACTTGTGCGCCTTGTCCTCCTAGTCCCTCAAATAATATTGCGTTCATGTTTTTACAGATTTATTTTTGGGTATAAAGGCTAGCGCTTCCATTCGTGGGGGGAGGGGGGGGGG